TCACATGTGTTTTAGTTAGAGTATAGTAAGGCCAGCACCTCCCCTGTTCCTAACACTGTGCCTCTCAATGCCTTTGAAGTTTGCCTTGGCCTTTCTGGCTTTCACATAGCAGGCTGTCACTAAGCTTGCAGTACACTAAAACCCCCAGGTCTTTTCCTAATGAACTGTTTTCCCATCATGTACCTGCGAAGTTAAATTCAAGCATGAGATTTTACATTTATTTCTACCAAATTTCTCTTTTTTATATATTTAATTTTTTTCCAATTACATGAAAAAAATTTGACATTATTTTTTTAAATTTTGATTTCCAAATTACCTTTCTCCCTGCCTCCCTCCACCCCCTCATTGCAAAGGTAAGGAATTTGATATAGGCTATACATGTATGTAATGCAAAACATATTTCCATATTAGCCATGTTGTGAAGGAAAACACAGACTCCCCTCCTCAATTAAAAAAAAACAAGAAAAACAATTTTTTTTAATATGGTTCAATCTGCAATCAGACTATACCAGTTCTTTCTCTGGATGAGAATAGCATTTTTCACCTTCAGTCTTTTGGAATTGTCTTAGATCATTGTATTGCTGAGAATAACTAAGTCACTCACTTTGAGTTTAAATATTTTATTACATTAGCTACAAGCGTCAGGAACAATGGAATCTTAAAATCAATTCAAGTAATTGACAGGACATCCTTGAATGTAACCTCCATTCAAAGAGAAAATTATAGAACTAAATTATTAGAGGGCAAAATAATGCTACCAAAACAATATGCACAATTTCTACTATCTTCAGTTGCATTAACATGGTTCTCTTGTCTAGTAAAGCTCTCAGACACAAAGATCAAATTTATTTACTGATCCAGCTCCTAAATCCAGTATTCATTGACTTCTTTAGCTAGGAGGAGAGAAAGAAGTAATGCCAAAAATGAAGCTGTAAAAAAATAATCGAATGGCAGAGGAACATTTGACAGAGATGAGACAGAACAATTTGACTTCTATTTTGTTTCCACCTAATCTAGCAAGGACAATGATCTTTGAATTGGAAAGGTTAGAAAAAACAGTATAGGAAAAAAGTGTAGCCCCCCCCCCCAAAAATATGAGAATAACAAGAAAGCACCTAGACATTGTGAATAAATTCAAAACTCTAATCCCTACCTTTACATCCCAGGGAATTAAAGGAATTTGTCCTTGTGATAATAAGATGATAGAATTGGATAGTTGGAAGGGACCTGTGGAATTTATGACTCCCCATGCACACCAAAGAAGTTAACAATCATAAAGCCTGGACTATGGAAATGGAGAGCAGAGAAATGGGCACAGCAGAGGATGTTGCCCTATTATCAGTTTCCATAACTTAATGAAACTCCTAAATCCCCCACATTAGGTGTGAATGTAACTGCAAGGCATGTGCCCTCTCCCTCACTTAGCAAAATAACTCCTTTTTAAAATTTAAAAAAGAAACACACAAGTTAACATAGTCATAGTTACCCTCATTGGTTATATCCTCTATGCATGTTTCATATAGATAAGCTTAAGAGGCCCCAAGGCACTGACTGAGCTCATACTGTGTGTGTACCTCTGATAAAGCTCCAACCCCTTTCTTTAAAAATTGCATTAAAAACATGGTTTTGTCCACTGGTCAGCCAGCCTTAGCCAGAGCAGACCAGCCACGTTATTCACCAATGCTGACTCACTGGAAAGATGGGTGAGCCCATCTGATTCTGCCCAAAAGGAGTAATGATCCAGTAATCTTAATGGGGTGATCCTGCACCCCCGTAAGCATGAACAATTCTTGAAAAACTGCTCCCATTAGTCTTGCCCAACACCATCCTTGCCCCTAGGCATTTACACCTGTTTTTACAATAAACATCATGCATTGTGCATCACTCCTGACTGGACCTGAGTAATTCATGGGACCAGCACTTCATGTCAAGTTTTGACAGACCTTAAGAGTCACTGACTCCAATACTTCCATTTTACAGAAGAAGAAACAGAAACCTCAACAGAGGGTAAATGACTTGCAGAGGGTCACACAACTAGTACATGTGTGAGGCAGGATTCAAAACCAGGTCTGCCTGACTCCAAATTCAGCATTCAATCCACTATAATATACTGCCTCTCCTATCCCAGAGTCAGGCTCAGTAGGATGGCTTTCTATTAGGATCCACTCAAAATGAACAAATATTTGTTTATTTCCAGCAGGGGTTCCTTAAAAACTGATCATTCCAAAGTAATGCTATTTCCTTTTTTAGATACTAAGAAGTAGAGATGAGATGGACATGTACTTTGGGCATGGAGGACAGACTATGTAAAGAATAGAGACAAGAGATGGAATGTCATATAAGAGTTAGTTTGGCTGAAATGAAGAAGAATGCATACAGAAGAGTAATAAACTGCAGCCAGATTGTGAGATGAGTAAAAGTGAAGGAAGTGGAGACAACAAGTATAGACAGTTGCTGGAAGAATTTGATAGTGAAAAGGAGATATATCTATGTATACAGATACATATAGATATAGACACACACACAGATAGGGGTGTATATGTACATATAAACAGTAGTTTAAGGGAATAATAGGGTCAGGTAAAGCCAGGGCATTCTAACAGGGTGATACTGAAGATGAGAAAGTGGAATAAGTGATGGATAACTGTGGAAACAAGCTACTGGAGAAGATGGGTGGGCTAGATCAAGTAGATGGGGTGGCCTTGTTAAGAAGAAATGCCACTTCTTCATCAGTGACTAAAGCAAAGGATGATATGAGGGAAGATGTCAGAGGCCTATAAAATGTGTAAAGGAGAGAAAAGGAAGCTCTTTAGTTATTTCTATTTTTTCTAAGAAAAGCATAAGTGGGACTGCTCTATTGAGAGGATGGGGGATGGGTGCTGAACAAGATGAGAAAAGAAGAAAAAGTATAAAATAGTTGTTGTAGGGAGTGCAACAGTCAATTAGGGAATAGTAAAAAGGATTGTCTTGTTTCAGCGAGAGCCCAGTTGAAGAATATATTGCATAAATGTGTACTAGATCCAGCCAGCCTGATTATATGACTTATTCCAAAACCATTAAGAAGCACATAAGAGTAGATGAGCAAATCTAGAGAAAGAGAACCAGAACAGAGGAAAAAGCTAGAAAACTTCAAATGAAGAGCAATTGAAGAAAGGGAAGTGTTTAGCCTGGAAAAGAAAAAAATTAGAAGGGTCATGCTAGCTGTCCTCAAAATATTTGTATTTCTGTCACATGGAAAAAGCAATTATTCCATATTGTTCAAAAAGAAAGATCTAAAATGAATGGATAGAAGTTATAAGGCGACAGATTGTAGCGTTACATTAGAACTATTTATTATTGTTATTGTTGTTAACTAGGATTTATATAGCCTTTTAAGGTTTGTGAAGCCCTTTACAAATATCCTTATAACAATCTAAAAAGTAGACACTATTATTAAATCTACTTTATATATGAGGAAACTGAAGCAGGTGGAGGGTAAGTGACTTGCCTAGGATCATACAGCTACTAAGTGTCTGATGTCATATTTGAACTCGGGTCTTCCTGAGGCCAAGTGAAGAATTCTATTCCTTGTGCAACCTACCTGGCTTTAGTTGAAAGTCATGATCTTAATAATAAAGAGTTAACATTAAACTGGGCTGCCTCAAGAAGGCACAGAATCCTGAGTAGTGGACATGTTTAGGAAGAGACTAGATAACCCTCAATCAAGGATTCTATAGAACCCACCATAAATTCCCAACCCTATGACTAAGTAAACATTACACATTCCAGAATGAAGTGATTCACTTCATATTCATTTCTCTGGTCAACAATTGAACAAGGTCAACAACTGAACAGTGTAATAGAATAAACATTGGTTCTAGAGTCAGAGTACTTGGCTCTGAGTTCCTATTTTCTCACTTCCTACCTGTAGAATCTTTAGCAAAGTTCTGGCTCATCTATAAAATGAAGGCATTTAGATTAAATTATGCCTAAGTCCCTCCCCCCTCTCTCTGAACCTTCAATTCAATGGTTCAATAATCCTACTTAGTGAGGATGAGACTAGAGAATAATTTTGGACTATTTTTAACAAAGATTAAAGTTTTTTATTATTTATTTAATCCACAAGTTACTCTATTTCTGACAATTATTTTTGCCACAACAGTCAGTCATGAGAGGAGAATGGATATGTGCTTATAATTTTTTAGTATACAAATCTACAGAGTTAAACTTATTTTGTTCCATAAACACAGATAGTGACAAACTACCTCCCCCTAGACAGCCATCTCATAAGTAAGATCCATTACTTAATACAGAGAATAAGGTGAGTTACATGATGGTAACCCCCCCCCAAAAAAATTTCATATCATGGTTCTTGATGCATAGAAAGTACTTAATAATTTCTTTTTTTCATTATCCAAATGGGTGAATGGCAAGAGGCAGTAAAAAGAGTACTGGATCTGATATTAGAGGATCTGGATCCATATTCTAATTCTGACATTTACTAATGATGTATCCTGAGTTCTATCACTTGTAAAATGTGGAGGTTGTATTAGATGACCTCTAAGGTGTTTTCCAGCTCTTAATCTATGACTGTATGTATGTATATATACATATATGTCATATAACAGTAATTATACTAAACATACATCATATACAGTATATTTAGTGTCTTTATGTGTGTATAAGCTAATTAACCAAACTAATGCCTTGCTCCAACACCCATCCTTAGAGATTCAAATTTCCTCATATTTGGTAACAAGCAGATAGGATAGAAAAGTGAACATTGGAAAAAAGGGGAGTAATTCAGATTCTGAAGTATGACAAGCCAGATGGAAGATTATTGATATTGGCATTTGCACAATGGTTTCTACAGTAAACTCAGCCTCAGGCATGTTGCAGAATCAGAGCAATGGAGACAAAAGGATAAAGTGTAATAGGAGTTTGAAAGTAGAACTGAGAGTGCAAATCAAGACAAGTTCCGGGGAACATAACTTAAAAGTACCATCTTAAAATCAATCTGAGTGCTTGTGTCAGAAGTACATATACTAAAACTGGAATGACACAGAGAAGGTTAGCTTGGCCCCTACACAAGGATGGCATGCAAATTCATGAAGCATTCCACATTTTAAAATATTTAACCTCCAAATAGAAGACTCAAGGGAAATATAAAAAAGGTAAAAAAAAAAGAAGAGAAACTGTAAGGAGTTCAGTAATGATAAACTGTTCATATTTTGATATAGCAAGATTATTGTAACACTTAGCTTCAATACTATAAGAGCAATTGGAAGGAGTATATGCAACAATGGATGTGGATATAAGGTGACTTTGATGGGATGATACCCAATAAATAAATAAATAGATAGATAGATAAATGAATGAATGAATAAATAAAAGGGTGAGAAAGAAAATTGCACTGGAAAAAGGAGGGGGGGAGATTGAATGGGATAAATTATTACACATAAAAGAACATTAAAGAACTATTATAATGGAGGGGAAGATAGAGGAGGGGTGGCAGGCAAAGCTTAAAACTTGCTCTCATCAAAATTGGCTCAAAGAGGGAATAACATATAAACTCAGTTGGATATAGAAATCTATCTTACCCTATAAGGAAATAAAAAGGGACAGGGATAACAGAAGAGGGAGGGGGAACTAATAAAAGGGAAAGTATATAGGGGAAGACAGTGATTGGAAGTAAAACAGTAGTGAGTAGGGAACTTGTGGGGGAAAAACAAGTGAAAAATTGCATGGATGGAAATACACAGTTCTAACTATAAATGTGAATGGGATGAACTCACCCATAAAACAGAAGTGGATAGCAGAATGGATTAAAAACCAGAATTTGTTTACAGGAAACACATTTGAAGCAGAGTGATACACACAGGGTAAAGGTAAGGGGCTGGATCAGAATCTTTATGATTCAGCTATAGCAAAGTAAGCAGGGGTAGCAATCATGATCTCAGACAAAGCAAAAGCAAAAATAGATCTAATTAAAAAAGACAAAGAAGGAAGCTATATGTTATTGGAAGGTACCATATCGATACTAAACATATATGTACCAAATGGTATGGCATCTAAATTTTCAAAGAAGTTGAATGAGTTACAGGAGGAAATAGATAATAAAACTCTACTAGTGGGGAATCTCAACTTCCACCTCTCAGAACTAGATAAATTTAACAAAAAAAAATAAACAAGAAAGAAGGAGGTGACTAGAATTCTAGAAAAGTTAGATATGATAGATCTCTGGAGAAAATTGAATAGGAATAGAAAGGAATATACCTTTTTCTCAGCAGTATATGGCACCTACACAACAATTGACTATGTATTAAGATATTAAAACCTTACAAACAAATGTAGAAAAGCAGAAACAGTAATTACATGCTTTTCAGATCACAATGCAATAAAAAATTACATTCAATAATGGACAATGAAAAAGATTAAGTATTAATTGGAAACTAAATAATCTAATCTTAAAAAACAAGTGGGTCAAAGAACAAATCATAGAAGTGATAGACAATTTCATTAAAGAAAATTATAAGAATTGGGGCAGCTAGGTGGCACAGTGGATAGAGTACTGGCCCTGAAGTCAGGAGGACCTGGGTTCAAATCTCTCCTCAGACCAAACACTTGACACTTACTAACTGTGTGACCCTGGGCAAGTCATTTAACCCCAATTGCCTAAAAAAAATGATAAGAATGAGACAACATACCAAAATTTATGGGATATAGTCAAAGGTACTTTGGGAAAATTTTATATCTCTAATTGTTTACATTGCTAAAATAAAGAAAAAGCAGATCAATGAATTGGGCATAAACAAAACTAGAAAAAGAACAAATTAAAAATCCCCAATTAAACACGAAATTGGAAATCCTGAAAATCAAAGGAGAGATTTATAAAATTGAAAGTAAGAAAACCATTGAGCTAATAAATAAAACAAGAAGCTGGTTTTATGAAAAAACCAACAAAATAGATAAATCATTGGTTATTTTTATTGAAAAAGGAATGAAGAAAACTAAATTACTAGCATCAAAAATGAAAGAGATGAACTCATCACCAATGAATAGAAAATTAAGACAATTGTTAGCAGCTATTCTGCACAATTATATACCAATAAATTTGACAATCTAAATGAAATGAATGAATATCTACAAAAATATAAATTACCCAGATTAACAGAAGAAATAAAATACTTAAATAACCCATTTTTAAAAAAAGAAATTGAACAAGCCATCAATGAACTTCCTATGAAAAAATTATCAGGACCAGATGGATTCACAAGTGAATTTATTACAAACATTTAAAGAACAATTAATCCCAATACTATATAAACTCTTTGGAAAAATAGGTGAAGGAATCTTACTAAATTCCTTTTATGACACAAATATGGTGCTGATACCCAAATCAGGAAGAGCCAAAAGAGAGAAATAGAGTTATAGATGAATTTCTCTAGTGAATATTGATGCACAAATTTTAAATAAAGTATTAGAGAAGAGATTACACAAGGATCACACACTATGACTGGGTGGGATTCATGCCAGGAATACAGGACTGGTTCAATATTAGGAAAACAATCAGCATAATTGACCATATCAATAACAAAACCAACAGAAATCATATGATTATCTCAAGAGATGCAGAAAAAGCCTTTGACAAAATACAAAACCCATTTTCTCTTAAAAACACTAGAGAACATAGGAATAGATGGAGTTTTCCTTAAAAAGATAAATAGCATTTATCTAAAATTATCAGTAAGCATTATCTGTAATGGAGATAAGCTAGAAGTCTTCCCAATACAATCAGGAGTGAAACAAGGATGCCCATTATCACCTCTATTGTTTAATATTGTACTAGAAATATTGGTTATAGCAATAAGAGAAGAAAAAAGAAATTAAAGGAATTAAATAGGCAATGAAGAAAAAACTATTACTTTTTGCAAATGATGTGATGATATACTAAGATAATCCTAGAGAATCAACTAAAAAACTAGTTGAAATAATTAACAACTGTAGCAAAGTCATAGGATTCAAAATAAACCCACATAAAGCATCAGTATTTATATATATTACCAACAAAGTCCAGTAGCAAGAAATAGAGACATTCAATTTAAAATAACTGTAGGCAAGATAAAATACTTGGGAGTCTGTCCGCCAACACAAAGCCAGGAACTATATGAACACAACTATAAAATGCTTTTCACACAAATAAAGTCACAACTAAACAATTGGGAAAATATTCACTGCTCATGAATAGACTGAGCCAATATAATAAAAATGACAATTCTACTAATTAATTAATTTGTTTATTCAGTGCTATACCAAACTATCAAAAATTATTTTATAGAGCTAGAAAAAAATAATAACAAAATTCATCTGGAAGAATAAAAGTTCAGGGATATCAAGGGAATCAATGAAAAAAATGCAAAAGAAGATGGTCTAGCTGTACCAGACCTCAGACTATATTATAAAGTGGTAATTATCAAAATAATCTGATATTGGCTAAGAAATAGAGTGGTGGATCAATGAAATAGATTAGGCACAAATTACATTATGGTAAATGACCGTAATAATCTAATATATGATAAACCAAAAGATCCAAGCTTTGGGCGGAAAAACTCATTACTTAACAAAAACTGCTTGGGAAACTAGAAAATAGTATAGCAGAAACTAGATGTAGAACAACATCTCACACTGTATACCAAGATAAGGTCAAAATGGATACATGATTTAGACATAACAGTGATACCATAAGCAAATTAAGAGAGTATGGAATAGTTTATCTGTCAGATTTGTAAATAAGGGAAGGACCAAAGAAGATATGGAGAACATTACAAAATGTAAAATAGATAATTTTGATTATATAAAATTTAAAAGTTTTTGCACAAACAAAACCAATGCAACCAATATTATAAGGAAAGCAGAAAACTGGGGGGGGGGGATTTTTGCAACACGTATCCCTGATAAAGGCCTTATTTCTCAAATGTATAGAGAGCTGAGTCAAATTTATAAAAATACAAGTCATTACCCAATTGATAAATGGTCAAAGAATATGAACAGGAAGTGTTCAAAGAAATCAAAGCCATCTATAGTCATTTGAAAAAAAAATATTCCAAATCACTATTGATCAGAGAAAACTCTCAGGGACCACCTCACACCTATCAGAGTGACTAACATGATAAAAAAGGAAAATGTTGTATGTTGGAAGGGATGTGGGAAAATTGTGACTCTAATGCACTGTTGGTGGAGTTGTGAAATGATCCAACTATTCTGGAGAGCAATGTGAAACTATGCCCAAAGGCATATAAAATTGTGCAATATCACTGCTAGGTCTATACCCCAAAGACATAAAAAGGGGAAAAGACAAAATATTTGCAAAATATTTGTAGGAACTCTTTTTGTGGTGGAACTGGAAATCAAAGGGATGCCCATCGATTGGGGAATGGCTAAATAAGCTGTGGCATATGATTGTAATGGAATGTTATTGTGCTGTAAGAAATGACAAGCAGGATGATTTCAGAAAAACCTAGAAAGACTTACATGAATTGATGCATAGTGAAGTGAACAGAAACAAAAGAACACTGTACATAGTAATAGCAATATCGTTCAATGAAGAACTGTGAATGACAGCTATTCTCAGCAATATAATGATCCACGACAATCCCAAAGGACTAATGATAAAGTATACTATCCTCCTCCAGAGAAAGAACTGATATTGATTGAATATAGACTGAACCATACTATCTTTCACTTTCTTTCATGTTTTTCTTTTATTTGAGTCTTCTTGTATAAAAATTTACTAATATGGAAATGTTTTACACAATTGCACATGTATAATGTATATCTGCTTATCATCTCAGGGAGAGAAAAAGGAAGGGAAAGAGGAAAGAATAGAATTTGGAACTCAAAACTTTAAATAAAAATGTTTTAAAAATTAGGGAAAAAATCTATCTTAACAAGCAGAAGCTAATAAAGCAGCATTATACAAGCAGAATGAGCTCAGCATTTAGAAGAGATAATAACTCTCTGCTGTGTCATTTTGTATTAACTGAACTCTAATAGGAATGACTAGAGGATCAGTTAGAAGAAAATTACCATATAGCAATCTGAGGGAAACTATGAGACTAGAGGCATCAA